CTCTCTTTCTCTCTCTCTCCATGGTCCTGTGTGTGTGTGAGAGAGAGAGAAAGAAAGAGAGAGAGGGCGCGTAGCGTAGGTCTCATCGTGTAGCGTAGGTTGCGTAGGTAGGTCTCGTCGCATAGGGCCGTACTTTTCCCGCCCGCCCGCCAACGATCCTTCCGGACCGATTTCCCCAATGCACCGCGGCGATCCGGGCCGTAAACGGCCCAACGGCCCGGATTCGCTTGCGATCTTAAAACTTTAAGATCGCGGGACGATCTGGGCCGTCGGGCAGGTGCAACCGCGAACGGCCTGGATCGCCCCGCAATCTTACAGATCTAAGATCGGGGCCCAATCCGGGCCGGTAGGTCCAAAGACGGCCCAGATTTCAGAATTCAGACATTAGCGATTTTTATAAGTGTAGGGATAAAGTTAAATGGACAGGATACCCTTACGAAGAATCCACATGGGAACCTCTTGCTAACCTTACGAATGCCATGAAACTTGTTAACGCCTATGATCACCCCCATCCTAGATCATAGCTACCTACTATGCCTAAACCCTGCCTAAACCCGCCTAAACCCTGCCTAAACCCGCCTAAACCCTGCCTCAACTCTGCCTCCCTGCACTGCACATACCCCTTGACCTCCCTTTGTCTGATCCCCTCTTGCCTTCGTCTCACCTGTTCTCCCAGATGTCCTCTGCCACATCTCTATCCCTCGTGTCCAAGTCCTACATGTGGCCCATGCGCGTCGCCGGCAATAACGGATCTAATGGCAAGTGCACGAGGACGATGGCATGCTGTAGCTCGGTACAAGGAGATAAGACAGCTGGTTGGCCACCATGCTGTTCCCTTTGGCCGGCACCTTGGACTCGCAAACTTCTGGAGCAGCACCTCTGACATGGACATCAAGATCAGTCTGCGACCTGCTATCCGGATTAGACCTCATCATCAGATTGTTCGGCCCTGAGGCACATTGCACTTCTGCCCTCGGGACTCAACTTGAGTCCGGTACTTGAGACCTGACTCAAGCTGAGTTCGAGCACTCAGTTTTTGGCCTCAGTGCTTGTGCTTCAGTGTGACTTGCTACGACATTGTGTTCAGAATCCAAGATTGTGACTTTGCCACTTTGTGCCCAAGTCCGTCGAGTCGTGTCAAGTCTGCGTCGAGTTGAGTGAGTGTGTGTGTGCTCTCACTCTCCCTCTCTCTCCCAGCCTCGCTGCTCTGCCTCAGCCCCGTCACAGGGACCACCATAACATAGCCGGTTGCACGTGCGCTGCATTAGGTCGATGTACAACAACGCAGATCAGGGAGAAAGTGGCGAGTACGAGAGGAGGTCATCAAAGAGGAGCGACTGTGGTGACAGGCGGATATTTACCTCAAGTGACCAGAGTCTTCAGAGGCATCGGGGGAGAGAGAGAGAGAGAGAGAGAGAGAGAGAGAGAGAGAGAGAGAGAGAGAGAGAGAGAGAGAGAGAGAGAGAGAGAGAGAGAGAGA